CCAGCATTAGGTTAAGCAGTTTTCAAGGTCGATCGGGAGAGCGTAGGATTTTGAACCATCAAGAAAATTACCTCGGTCTACATAAAATGTCCAAGGTAGTCGGTAGTGAGGATCTATTGAGTGTTGCCTATAATTAAGCATATTTTAGCAAACTCGCAAATCGTATTAGGAAAGGGAAAGTATTAACTTTTAAGTATGATTATCCAAGCAGAGCTATATAAAGAAGTATATACACATTTCTAATATAATTCGTATGATTTTTTTATGATATTTCGGTCTCATAATAGTTTTTGAGTAATAAAGGAACACTACTAGTTCAAAATAATTTTGATCTCTCACCATTCAGCGAGTGATTAGGAGATAAGTTACACCTGAGATAACATCTGTGAAATTTTATAAAGAGCAAAGTGCTTTACTGTTCCATGTCTTTTAGTACCAAAAATGCCTACAATTCAACCATAACACAGTCAGTTTTAAGGAAAATGCTTTGCTGCACCATATAGATATTAAGGTATTTTCGTTTGCATTAAAATATTTAAATAAAATGCAATTTAGTTCCTAGAAAACGAGCAGCTTTTCGAATTCTAATAATATATCTCCCACTCCAGACTTACATTTGTTAAAATTTTAGTCGTTTGTGACGACAATTGCATTGGCTTTGCCAACAAAAGTTATGTAAATTAGAAAGACAATTATTATTTATATTTCATATTTCATTAGAATTAGTTTCCTTTTCAAAATACCGTCTGTTGCTTTTAGCTGCATTCGAAATATGTGAATTGAAATTAAAACAACACAAAAATGGTTAAATATATTTTATTGACTTTCGTTTCCAGTACAAGCAGAAAGCTAATTTTTAATGTGCAAAAATTTCGTTATTCTGCAAACAGTTTTGCTCATATAAATACACAAAGTAAGTATGTTTGTATTATAATATATGTGTCTCTATGTCTGTGGTAGGCAAAAAATAAACAAAAGCAAATGCAAGCACATTTTTATTATTATTATTTTTTTTTTTTCGAAACAAAAACGAATGCCGAATATGAATTTTAACTATTGCGCCACTCTGTTTCAAAGAAATTGAAATGTTTCGAACTTATATTTGAATTGTTTCTCNTTTAACTATTGCGCCACTCTGTTTCAAAGAAATTGAAATGTTTCGAACTTATATTTGAATTGTTTCTCATACATTTCTGTGTCTATCAGAAACCCTTTGTGAATGTGTGTGTGTGTGTGTGCATATTCAATTCAAAGGAGTAATGCAATTAGCCACTGGAATTGCAAATATGTGTAATTCATGGAAAGCACTAAAACAAACATCTAAATCTTGAATTTGAATGAAAAGGAGTATAAGAGAAAAGCTCTATCTGTGCATACATACATATATATGTGGATGTGGAAAGCAAAACTTTGATCTAATGAACTCACGTCATTTGAAAGTGAAGGTTCACATTAGGTGTGCCCCTTGACATTTGATAAAACTCAGAGGCTCATTTAAGTGAAAAGTATTTCTAAAACTAGGAAATAAAACTGTCAACTCAAAATTCGAATGCGGGTATAACCGAACATTTCATACTCCTGCAACTTGCAGTATTTAAAGCTAGGGAAGTACCTTCAGGTACTTAAAATTTGTTAGTTATATGGTATCTAGAGCGAGTTTTCAATGGATTTTATTCATTCTAAGCATAAAGATGCACCGTTATAAAAAAAACGCTCTCTCAATTTTATTATAATATCTCACATATTGACATGACAGTTGGCGGTATAAAGTCCCCCGAAAGTTCGAAAATATTTATATTTGTTTATTTACTTATTGACCATATTCAAAACATTTTTGATCCTCTCTGTATTTCAATTATATAGTTCACACATTGATCGATATTTTATGAAAAAAGTCAACTATGGGTACTGGGTCTGTATATTTGACTTTAACAATTTTTGTTGGATTTGATCAAAAGATGGCATACTTCAATGGGATTACTACAAAGGTAACATAAAAGTGTCTGGTGATTACCACGTGCCTTAACTGGGTGGTAAGTTATGGTATAATGTCGTTTTGTGGGCATGGTATTAGTCCGATTACGCCCATCAACGAACTCGTACTTTTTGCTATATAAGTATAGCCCTCTATCCTCTGTCCATCTCGACTCGACTAGTTGTAGGTAATACGTAAAACGATTAGATGAACAAAACTATTATACTTTGTAGTAACATCTTCCAAGAGTATGATGATCAGCAGATTTTTTGATTAATTTTAGTTCAAAACAACAATACCTATTACGCATTTGCATACTTGTCCTTTTCTGGGAAGTGAAAGAAAGCCTTAAGTCATTTATAGCTGAGCAATTTCTGATCACAGGAAAAGTTAGGTGATTTAGACCGATTCTCCTTACTATTCGACTAACTCAATTGCCACCGTGAGTTAGTTCAACTCTGGAACGACAACGAATTATGCACACACATCATATATATATTCATGTACATATACATATACATATAATCATACATATAAATATGCAAAATATATATGTTCTCTGCAGTTATTGTGAGCACCCACTTTGTATTAAATTCAACAGAAGCAAACAAAAAGCAAATCCACAAGCACACCGAAGCACACCGAAGCACCAACACACCTACACTCAAATGCTGACTGTAATAACGGCTCACCAATGCACATGCATTGAACATTGCTCATGTCATAACTCAACAACTCATTGTTTCCAACAAATTGTAATAAATAAAAATGTTGCAATGTTTTGTTTTTATTTATAGCTTATATGGTACATAGTAAACGTTATAGCGCTGCGAGCCATTTTCATGCTACGATTGTACATGTTATTATTGCACTTGCTCTTGCTTTGACTGCCATTTGCCATATTTCCTTATGCTCCTCTTTGTCCACACTTTTCTGTTCATTTTCGAAACCCTTACCCCGCTCACACACATACACGTTTACTGCTACACACCCACAGTCTGATTGGAAATGTCACAGCTGCGGTCGCATATTTCCACACATACACACACATACAGTCATATGAAGCTCCAATCAAATACACAAAGTGTGGTGGAAGTGCAGTCGGGTGATTGGAATGTTTGGGGCGTTAAGCGCAGAAAACATTGTATGTATGTATGAGTGGAATTTATGTGTGTATGTTCAATATGTGTGTGTGTATTCTTGCCAATGTTGGCTCCGGAATTTTTATTTGCTCGTAACATATTGATAAGTTGCAAATAAATTTTCATTGTGCATTGGAGTAGCGCAAGTACAACAACAAAATACAAACAAATGGGAGCAAGCAATAATAAAGGAAGCAGTAAAATTCCAAATAAAATATGTATATATAAAATGAAGAGGTATGAAAAATGTGTCACATTTTGCATTGTGCTACCGAGCGTAAATGCATTGTCAATTTATATGCTCGTATGTATGTATAAAAACATACATTGTTTGTCGCCGTATACAAGCAAACACATATTTGAGAATGTTGCGCTGAAAAATCAGTAGCTAATGCTTCTGGCGGCTTTCTTCCACTCTACAATCGCTTTTTTCTCATTCAAATTAGATATGTACGTGTTTGAATACTCCTTGAAATGATTGATTTTTGTTTACTTATAACTGGCAGACGCGACGTATTGAGTTTAAAAACCACCGCTTTAATTTAGTGGGTGTTGGCAGTCATTATAAGTATTTAAACCCTTGAGGAAAGTATGCATTTATATTCTTTTAAGTGTAAAATGGTTGTATGTATCACTTAAAACTAAGTGATCAAGATAAAGGCTCATATATATGTATATAAGGTATAGACATCCGGGTAACTGTCTGTCCGTCCGTACAAGCCTTCCTTAAACACCATTACCGACACTGAAAAGGTGGTTGAAAACTACTAAAAGTGATCCGCGATGGTATGAGAGGGCTTAGTCGGAGATAGGGCTAAAATGCCATATTTGGAAATCTAATTAACCGAGTTCGACTAAATTGGGGTGCGGCATTAGTCTCGCATGTTTCATATCACAGTGAATGAGCGAAATCGAACTAAACCCACGTCTACTTTTCATACATAAAACAGAATTTTAAATACCATTTGATTCCTTCACTTTGCAGTACACAAATAAGAAGTAAGTAATCTAATGTTTGGCACTAATAATTTCCCTAACTTATGCCATCTTATGAGCAGAATCTGTCGAAATCCAATCCCAAATACCGCAAATGTGGACTCCCAGTTGACTTTTCACCAAAAATATCGATCAATGTATGAGATATACCATTATAATTGTTTTGATGATAATAGTATAAATGTCTATTAAAAATGGATTCAATCAAGTTCGTAGTATTAACTTAGCTCTCATATACCTAATATAAAGATTTTCGATATTCCGATTGACTTTATGTTGCACATATCGGCCATTATGTGTGTTATTTCGGTGAAAATGGAAGAGCGTGTTTTACTGATAGCAGCGTACCTTTGTACCTGAAATAGATAAAAGTGGACGAAACTGCATACTCCATATGATTGGTGATGGTAGGTGAGATACCTTAAAGAAACCCTATAGTTTCGTGAAAGAATTCTTCGATCTTTGATTATTGCAAATTGCGTGAGTATAAAATGTTCGGTTACGCCGCAACTTAACCCTTTTTTACTTGCTTTTACTCAAAACAATCACAAATTATAAACATTTTGTTCACTTTTTTTAAGTGTTTTCAAAAGCTTGTTATTTTTTCTTATATAATAATGAAAAGTAGCATAACCTAACAAGTATTTTTTTATTTGTGCCGCTTTAGAGTTTAAACAATTCGCGTCATCATCGACAGAGTTGACTCCTGGCAGATGTCTTGAAGTCGTAAAAAAAGTCGTTMAATAAAGAAAATGCATTCCATTCTTTATATATATTTTAGACACGGAATTATTACTCAATATTTCTTGTAACAAAATACTGTATATATATAAAAATAAATTTATATTTTTTATTTATATGTTTATATTTTATTTGTAAATTTGCAGGCGACGGACGATGCCAGTGGATTTCCATCACAGACGCCACCTCCTTATCCGCACGAAAGACGTAAGTAGCACAATTTAATTGATAGTTATGAACTATTTAAGGCTTTTATTAAAAAAATTGTTACATGAAATAAAAATAATAGTTTAACAAATATTTTAATAATACGTAAAATTAAAACTGAATACTAATTAGATCACATATACAAGTAAAAATATTAATAAACGTTACTCATTAATAGAATTATTTTAGAAAAGATTTGCGGTTTTTCGAAAAAGCAAAATTTTGTTTTCGGTCTTACATACTTAACAGGGTTCCGAGTTCCAAACAAACACCATTCTAACAAATTTAAGAATTTTTGTTACTGATAAGTCTTATTATATGAGCTCTTCAAATAATAAAACGTTAAGGTGATTAAATCTGAAGTTGGTTGCAAAAAAATTCAATAATATCAGCCGTGTCATCAAAAGAAATTACTTAGTTTAAGACCCAATATCGATGTATTGCTATAGTGTTAAAAAGCAAGATTAAAAAATCCAATGATAATAGCGATATAGGGGCTAAAAGCTCGGCTTTGTAAAACATATTACGGAAAGGTTGACATATCGACTTTAACACAAATGAGTTCGACTTTTCGAAAACAAACGGTGCAATAAATTACAGCTGTTAGCGAAACAAATAAGAAACTTAAAAATATTTAAATCGTCAAAACAGATTTTCCATGTAAACACAAGCACTATATTTGCAGAGAGCATAAATTCAAAGGTTTATCAAAATTTGCGCGATTTCAATACAACACTGAACGCAGGCGAACTGTTGACTTTTGAGAAGCGTTTTTCGCACAAAAACACACATTCCTCCAAACACTTTGGAGGTGTGCACGCGCTTGCATGCCATTTGCAAGGCAGTAAACAAATTAAGTAGTGCAATCTAAAATATTGTAAAATCATTTCGCGAAAATGAAGTGGACGCAAAAACATTCGCCACTAAAATGGATTTGCATGTATGCACACATATATTCTTGCACATAAATAAATCTTATGAAAATGCAAACAATATCTGCAGCATACATACTGGCGCTCTTACTCACAGCCACACATACACACCGCTGTTATTAATATGTAAGAAGATACGGTTGTGTGGGCACTCTGAGCTTTATAGCACCCGAAGGATGGCTGTGCAAAAAATGCAAAATTTTTTCAACCAACCTGCATATTTATGTAAATTTCACATATATTGAAGTGTGTGTGTGTTTGCGCCAAGTGTATAGAATAGCAAATGAATTCGTGTATAAAGTGTAACAAGCTACACATGACATAAATTGCTTGTTATTGCGTTTTTCACAAATTTACATTTCAACGAGAGCTAATGCCTGGCACACCAGACACACATTGTATGTGTGCATACAAGTTAATATCTACCGCCAACAGATGTGCACGAGTGTGTGCGTAACGCATTTGCATACACATATGTAAATGCAGTGGCGAGCAAAGGGAGGCAGTGGTAAAGGGTAACAAAATTTCGCTCCATAAAAATTTACATTTTTTATGCAAAATCAAGAGAAAAAAAGAGCAGCAGTGAATGAAAAAATTGTTAAATATATTGTCTATCGAGTAAAAACAAAAAATCTTATGCTGGCTGTTGTAAAATGTCGGATAATGCTCAATATTTATTGTCATACGTTGAACCTGGTGCCAAATTTCCATGAATATTCCTAGGCTTTTAATCAATTCAGTTTAGTTTTCCGCTTGAATTGCATTGGAAATAGACTAAATAGGCACACTCGCTTAATTTATGAATTGTATGCAAAAGGTTGCGTATACGCAGTGTAGCTCTAGTGTAGTTCCGCAATGTATTTTATATATTTTACATGTTTGCTCTTTTTATTGCAGCCTATCGCACACCTAAAGGTGAAAAAGGTGAACGTGGCCCTAAAGGACCACCCGGTGATAGCATACGTGGTCCACCGGGACCACCGGGGCCGCCGGGCCCTAAAGGTGAATCGGCTACTTTTCCGCCCTTCGTTGATTTTCCCAGCGGTGCCGATGCGGTAAGTAGCCATTAATGTGTAATATACTTGATTGTTTTTTTTTATTCATAAGAATATGAAAAACGATTAGAATTTTTGTAAAAAGTATAAATATTGACATATGTATGTGTGTATGTACATATTTATAAATAGGAATTTTTAGTTGCAACTAAGCATGAAGCAATAATTGGAAATCAGTATAAAATTAAATACTAATCACGCTTGTGGGACCTGAGTTTGTTTCCCAGTGGAAAAAATTTAAAAAAAAATCTCGTAATGAGAGCAAATGGAAAAATATACATATTTTAAATCTACAACTGTTTCTATAAAATATATCAGTTTCATTTTGAGATCTTTAAAAAAAAATTTTTTAAAAGTTATTCTTAGTATGAAATGGAAAAAAATCAATTATTTTCCATATCTTGACAGGCTAAGTATGCAGCTCTCCATACAATGACCAATCGGTTTTTCGAATCTTTCAAAAAAACTAATATGGTTAGGCAAAAAATTACCAAAATTTCAGGTAGAACTCAATTTTTTTATGCCCACTTCCTTATCTTCCCAAGTTGCTGCTTATTGGTCGGAGCCGACGATATCAGACCATTTTAGGATATGTCTGTCTTAGAAACTGATAGATCGAAATTATATCCTTGTATGGAAAACATTCTTATTTAAAAAGATGTGTTCACGAAATTTGCCACGGGTTATTGTCCAAGTCAATACCATAATATTTGAAGAAATTTTTTAGATCTGAGGACTATATCATATAGCTGTGATACAAATTGATTGATCAGAATGAAGTCGTTGTATGGAAACTTTTGGTTTCGAATGAATATTTTCAAGAAATTCTGAATATATTGTAATCCAAGACAACTCCGGCTTATTCAGAAAAAGATTCAGACCACTATAGCAAATAGTTGTCATACAAATCGAACGATCGAATTCGACTTGTTCTATGGAAACTGCTTGTCTATGAAGGGTATTCTAGCTTTGCTGCAAACACAGTTAAAGTTTTTTTCTTGTTTTGATTTTTACACTTTGCTACTTTGTCTATGAAAAAGCTCCGGAAATTTGAAAAATGTAAGTAAATAAAAAAATGCATACAATAGTTTTGTTTAAAATTCTTAAAAATGTCTTTTTTTGAAGGCTTTCAAATTAAATATGCACCTTGAAGTTTTGATTATTATTAATACTAAATTAATTCGATAGTTAAATTATAATCATCCGCACATCTCAAGTTGTTCTTTCAATTACCTAATTGACGAGCACATTTCCCTCCCCCTTTTGTCATTAAGCCACAAAGCAATGAGCTGATCAATCACCAATTTCAGTGAAAATCCGTTATTATGAACTTAGTTGACGTTTAAGTTTATTATCTGCTGCAACAGTGTAAGCTTATGTAAGTATGGCTGTGATTCGCAGCAATTGTATGTGCTGAGTCCGCACACGTGCATGCGCTTATCTGCTGACGGTTTACAGTTTGCCTACGTTAATAAGCATTGATCACAAATTTCACATAAATTCCGCAATTATCAGCTGCTACAAGTAATTGTGCAATAATTAGTGCATAATAAACACAATTGCCAATGCACGAACAAAAGCACCACCCACACAAGCACATGCAGCAGCCAGATTTCGCTCGCACAAATATGTAGCAGTGTTCGTTAGTCAAAGTTGCAACAACACTGCTAAGCTATTAAGCGCCAGCCACAGCAATATGCTCATAAGTCTGCATAAATACAATGACTATGACTACGGTGAGTTGCCTATTATCAGCTGCCAATTGATTTGCTAATGCATACAAACACATATCACGGCACCGCCTRCACACGTGATATACTATGCACAGCTATGTATGGATGTGTTGGTGGCTCTGTAAATGATGCACTTATAAATGCAAACGAAGTAAACGCAAATTAACTGCAAATGCCGCACTAAATCTACTCAGCTTCGATGAGCGGACCAGCCTGTGTGCATGTGTGTGTGTGTAGATGTGTCCGTGTTTGGCTAAATCCGCTGGCTTACCTATTTATTTACGATTGCAGCATTATGAATGTTTACATGCACTAGCGCATGTATGTGTGTGTGGCCGTGTGCAAATGGAAAAACCGATAATTGTCTACTTAGCGGTATTAACGCGATTGTCGAGCGGCTTTAATTTGTTGCACTGCTAACGGAAGCGCTCGCCAACAAACAACAAATGTTCAGTTATCCCACGCGGACAGGTTATAGATATTATTAGCTGGTGTGTGCAATGCACTCACATAGATTTATATTGTTTTGGTGTTAATAAGTTGTCAACCAAAGGAGCGTGAACGGCTATTTGTTCGAACGAGCGTTGTGTGGGAAGGCGAAAATCCAAAAAAAGTTAATTTCCTGCAGGCATGTGTTAAGCCATGATTAAATCTTCTATTTGTTTTGTACATTTTTTGAAAGGAAAGTAAAAGGAATTTAATTACACGGAGTGAGAAGTTTGATAAGTAATCTGTGTAGTGCCATTACCTAGGACTTTGTGAATGACGGTAAAAGGCATATTTGAGAAGGTCAAAATCTATACATGACCCACGAAATCCCATTTTTTCGCCCCCTTACGCCTTATACGTTGTGAGGAAAAAGTACCGATAAATTATAAATAAAACGAATAATAAACAATTATTTGCCCTTTAAAGTAATCCCAACCAAATATAATACACTTATGATTTTCCTCGCCAAAACATTATCCATAAGAACTTGTTAAGATAGCCTTCAGCTTATTTAGCGAATTTCATTTTATTTCTTCATTCGACTGAAAGCGGTTTTCTCAAAATGACCATTTCAATTTTGGACACGGAAAAAAATCACACGGAGCCAAATCTGTTGATCGATTCATTTCATTGCCGTTTTTGCTTTAAATCCGGCCACAATCGTACACATCTTAAAAAAAATTACGCTTTATCGTTACGAGTTGAGCAAGAACGCGTTTCATACCCTAAATATTTACCAAAATCATGCGAACGGAGCCTCCAGAGACTTCGAGCTCTCTTGATATCTCTCTAAAACTTGCCCGACGATTACCATACACCAAGCCCCTTCACCTTTTTAATATTTTCAATAGCTGAAGATAGCGTAGGCCACCCAGAATGAGACATGTCTTCAACGACCTCTCGACTATATTTGAATGCTTTGTACCACTTGCAAGCTTAGTTTCTTTTATAAAACTGAATCACCGTAAGCGTAAGCAAAATTTGAGACAAATTCTTTCCTCGATATTTTTATCCATTGTAAAATGCACAAAGCACTAAAGAGGTATACGGACTTATGCAGCTGCTATTAATAAACTGGTTGAAAAATTGCCCTCATATTTAGCATAGCAATTAACAGCAATCCTATGAAGTTTGCAAAATAAAGTAGTCGATGAGCATATATAAAAATCGATGCTTCCTCGTTGCGTCTGCCCATATATGGATAAATAACGTATCCGCTATTGATTTCCACACAATAAAGCAGCTAAATTTGCTGATGTAAATCTTTGTATCATTGATGAGCTTGATGTCAACAATTTAGCCGAAATTGCGCACTGTACATGTTGCTCCAAAAAGTCTTGGAAAGCGCATAGAAACGAGTTAATTTTTTTGCAATTGCTGAAACTAGAATACCCATCACAAATACAAAAGATTATATACAAAAACTTGATTTCAGTCGATCAGTTTATATGACAGCTTTATGCTATAGTGATACGATCTGAAAACACTATCGGGAAAGTGTAATGTTGCTTTGAAGAATAACCCACGCCGAATGTTTGAAGACATCACCCCTAATGAAAAGGTTTTCGATACATTATCGATTTCTATTTTAGTTTTTGATTGACTAATCAGACTAATAAGCAGCTTTTTGTATAGAAACCGATATTTGCAAAGCTTCAGATTGATATCCCAAAAAGTGAGACGTTGAAAAACCATGTACATATTTTTTTCTATATATTCTCGTTCCTTTTGGAATATGATATTGTGGCAGAATTCGCAATTAATGTCGTATGCAACATGTATGGTTAGAAAAAGGACAACTAAAAAGAATATGGATTAGCCATTTTTTAGCCCAAAATCATTCCAAACTACCCACCATTTCAAAAATAAGCTCTTTAAAACTTTTCATTCAATTCCAAGCTCACATGTTCGTCAATAAAATAAATTAAATTTTGAACACATTAAAGCTTCAAAACAATATGAAAGTACGCATAGATAACCGCATATAATTGTGTTGAATGCAACAACACAAAATGATAATTATCTCCCTTGGCCACATGTGAAATCATAGTGCTGCAATCGAAGGCAAACTGGAAGTGCATGAAATTTACACGCGCACAAACTTCGCAAGCCAAACTCGAATGCCAATAGAACGCGTTTACTGTACAAACAACAATAGCAAATGCGGCCGTCCCAAAATGCCAGCGGTCATAAATGCAAGATGCGAGGCAGCGCGTGACAAACGGCGCAAATCCGCCTGCATTAACACGTTAGCGTCTGGGGAAATCAGGTATTTATTTCCGTTGTCGCTGTAAGCGCCTGCCCCATTGTTGTTGCTATTGTTGCTGCATACACCATGTACACATTTGCAATTTGAAATTTGTATCAGCATTGACTTATCGACCCGACTGAAGGGTTTATCACTAATAGATGATTCATTAGTATCTACGTCGTTAATAGTTGTGAGTATACTGATAACAATAAATTTAGTTACGAGTTTGACGGAAAAAAATTTTTTAAAACTTGTATTTGTTTTAACTTTTGCAATTTTTGTCACTTGACATTGCGAAATCCTAATACTTTCATTATTATTTTTTCTATAAAACGACAAACGCGGCATTGAAGATACACCTGCGTACCTATATACATATACTCTGGATTCTTCACTTCATTCGCGACTATTTTTGGTGATTTTTAGGTAGTTTTTAACCGCTGTCATTTACTTCTCTACCTGACAAACCTTTTTTTTATAAACCCTCAAGAGGGCATATCATCCGATTGAATGATCAAAGTTAATTCTAAGCATACAAAACAGCTTTATTTAACTAGATATCTACCCGAAATTTGGCTTAAATTATTATTTGGAAGTTTATGGCTTCCACTCAACTGACTCTCCAATCCTTATATGGACAATGTTTTATATTAGGAAAAGTATCCTCACGAAGTTTGCATTAGAGTATTGTCGAAAGCATCGCCACAATTTTTGAATATATATACTTTTCAGATCAGACCACTACCATGCTAGACAAAATTGACCTGAAAAGGATATCATAGCTTCGGTGTAGCCGAGATTTTTTCTTATTAGTTTTACCATAGGTCCACAATGGGTTGAAAACCATATTTACTTCCATACTTAATCGTTCTAATTTTGATCAGATGACTTTTTGATGGTTAACCAACAGTTTGATGCTTCTAACCGTTTTCGATGAGCGAAAAAATTATAAATGGCGTTATATTGAAATCGAATTGCCCCGGTTTATATTTCAGGGCAGATTTAACCAGTAAGACAAAGTTATCGTATATAACCGTTTTGATGGGAAACTTTCATTTCCAAATTTTTGAAAAAATTAACAAATGAATTCCATTCAGTGTATATATGTATGTCTCTAAAAGATTAACAAAGTGGTACTGATATGAGAAATATATTTGTAAAGAACTTAAATGCAATGGAAAATGAGATTCATATACAAAATGGAAAATGAGATTTGCACGCATATGTTGGAAATATCTAAACTAATATATTTTCCAATTTATTGCCACAAAGTTCATGTATTTAGAAACGAATATTTCTGAATGAATGGCGCATGAAATGAATGAATTTCGAAAAGCCTGATGAACGCTTTTGAGCGCGATGCACAATTCCAACTTTAGCGGCAAAATAGAATGCCTCACGCACAAGTTCCAATACATTTATAGATGGAACCGTGTACTTTATATATGTATTAGTATATACATCACTGAACGCAACAGCCAACGCACAGTGAAATATGCCATATAAACCATTTCTCTTTCCACCATGCAACGGTGCCGAATATTGCTGATTGTTATTATTGTTTTAGCAGAATTTTTGGTCAGCGTTTCGCATTAGAGAGCTTATAGCTCTAGCAAGCGCGTGCTAAGCCACCACAAACTCCCACAGTTAACACAGACACATATATATATGCATGTGTATAATTCGTACATATATATGTATCTATGTTTATATGTAAGCACATGTGTACATACGTCTGATTTGCCGCACGCATTCTCGTATTGTGAGTTGTAAATGAGTATTCGCAATTTATGGAAAGGCAGTTTGAGTGCATACCGCACTGTGTTGAATTGAAGTGCTGGCTGCCACTATTATCGCTGTTGTTGTTGTTGTCGTGCGGCGCCATACGTTCTATAATTCTGAGGCAATTATGGAAATTGAAGCGCTGTCTCTTATACACATCTAGATGTGTATAAGAGACAGGTGTTGAATTGAAGTGCTGGCTGCCACTATTATCGCTGTTGTTGTTGTTGTCGTGCGGCGCCATACGTTCTATAATTCTGAGGCAATTATGGAAATTGAAGCGTTTGCATACAATATGGCATCATTTAGAAGCGAATTGGCGCATAGGATGACAGAAGCGGCTAACGTTGCAAGCGGCATGTGGCGTACTACAAATGAACGATGCCAGTGTTGGATGGTAGTCCATAGATAACGGTAACGTGGCAAACGGCATGAGAACAGCGGAAATGTGGCATCGTTTATTCCATTGAAGTTGCCTATAATTTATGTGCAAATGACAAATGCTGCGCCATTGCATTGTACTTAGATATAAACATATATACATATGTATATATGTATGTATATATATAGAGTATACGTTTATGTTTTTAAGGGCCCTTGCGAAGTCGATAGTGAGTGTGTTATAGACTTGTTTTTATATACCTACATATACAAATATATTTTTATTTTGCAAACTATGCGATTTAGGTCGAATGGGCGAGGAAAGGTAATTTCGCAATGCCACTCTCGGAGAAACTTCAATTCACTCTTGACAAAAAGTGGGACAATCGATCTTCTAAAGCTTCTTTTGCGACAAATTTATTCGTCATAGACAGGAATAACTGAAATCTCTTGGTTTCAGGTGCGGACTATGAGTATAAACCTCCTAAGCAAGCTTTCGGAGCTTTTAGCGAGTCTCTATCGATATGTGAGGTCTGGAGTTGTCCTGACTGAGCACAATTCCTATCCAAACTGGCCGTTTCTGGCCGATGGTTTCCTGCAAATGATCCATACCTTGAGAGTATAGGTTCAGATGGTAGATGACTATCTGTCAGTCTCATCAAATACATATTAAAACCTTCCTGACTTGATTAGCTGTCCTGATTTGGTCATTCTTTGCGCCGGCTCTCCACACCACTTTCAATGCACTTCTCCAAGTTCTTGAATAATGTCCGAATTCGACTACATTTTTCAAGTACCAACGATTTTTACCAGCGTTAGCTGGCAGTTCATACACCAAAGGCAACCGACAACATGTTTGCCGCACTGGAAGTTCAAAAATAATGACAACAGCTTGCGTAATTCAATACTTTTTTATTGAAATGATAATCATCATATTTCGCGCTACAGATACTTCTGATCATTCTTTCGAAGATTTGCGGTTTAAGTTTGTCCTCGAGTAGCGTAAATGATTCTGCTCTGTAGCAAAATAGCATAAGGTCTGTTTACAGTGCCTAATAAGTAATTTTGAGAGGATAATTCGTGTATGATCTATTGACAGACTGTTTATATCTTCCTATATTGACATAGCGATGAAACTCAAATATGTATGCAAAAATATATTTTTTTTTTTTTGTAAAATTTAAATTTTTCGATCCGGGAATTCCCATGTACTACTAAGTACAGCATACGCCTACCGGGAGAAGAGAAAATATTTTAAAGAACTTTATAATATGTCCTTACGCCGCAGAATAAAACTTCCCACACCTCAAGCAATCACCTTCAGGACTTTCGATTGCCCAACATTTTTATTATTAATAGTAACCGTTAATTTTTATTGCCACACTTCCGTGTYTTAACAATTGCTCATTTATTTATTTGCCTTGCTCACATACTTGCTAACAATTTATAAGCTGGCTAACCGGTTGCTCATTTATTTCACTTATTTCTTTTGTTGCAGAAATACACTGGCAAATGCACGTGCAACGCGTCTGATATCCTAGAAGCAATCAAAGATAATGAAATATTACGTGAAACAATACGCGGCCCACCCGGACTGCCGGGCAAAGAGGGAAAGACTGGTGCGCCTGGACTCACGGTAAGTGAATGCATAAGCACACACACATGCAGTTGCATTATTATATAGTATATTGTACATACAAACAAACAAACACTCGTAGAGCATTTTCAATTCAGCTGCCGAGCGAGCATGCGGTGAGCGGCAGCAGAATAACTCAATCAATTTCGCGATACGCCGTGTGCAATCGGAAATAAGTGTGAGCTGTCTATAAGCGCGCACACCTAAATAACTGTACATACTTGACTGCTAATGTATGTGCATATTTTTTCACTTAAATGCGCTCGCAGGTTTTTTATTTACTTCTACACGAAGTGGAAATGTGCAATAATGCGCCGGCACCTTCCCTCACACATCGGCTTGCGCCAACTAGCTATTTACCTTTATGTATATGTACACGTATGTGTTGGTTCAGGCAGGTGCAGTGCTGAGTGTGCTATTGGGCACAATAATGGCAGCGAACGGAAGGAAATTCATATGAATTTTCGAGAGTGCATTCGTACTCGCTTCGATTACAGGAAGCCTTGCGCAAATAAATCATTAGCGGTTAATTGATTGGAATGGGAAGTGATTGTTGAGTGGCCCCAGATCGAGAGGAATTGCAGAACTGAAAATAAGTGGTTTGTGTACACAATTTACAATATCACATAAGTAAACAGTAATCGATTGTAATTGATTTTGAAAAATTTAGCTGAAACCAAAACGTCATTATGAAGTTGCAATTAACTGAGGAAAGCTGCATTTGTGCGGCACTTATTTGGAGAATTGAAGAAATAACTCTCTGCTGATTGTGAACTGTAATTACTGAAGTAACGAAATTGAAGAACATGTGAAGTAATGCAGTCAGTGTTGCAAGATTGTGGCTTTTCACCATATATTTGCGATATTTGGCAAGAAAATATATATTTTTCTTTTGTTTTGCAATTCAAATGCTCAATTCAATTAACTCAATTAAAGACTGTTTAAAAAAAATATAAATAATGAAATAATTAATTGATATAAAAGAGAATATGTATACTGAAATAACTTTATAATTTAATTAGTGCACAGCTGAATCAGAACCCTCGACTCAAATACTGAACCTTTCTGGTCCCAAAGAAAAGAGAAGATATACAAACATAATAAATTTTTAGTATCCTATTGTGTTAAGATATTTCATACATTAACTAATCAAATATAGCATGGAATCAACCAAATATACGATTGCCTTAAAGGCAATGTAATGTAAAAAAGGAGAAAGTGAGGATCGTTTTATTGATATTTCATAATAAGGACTTAAAAAAAAAAACAGAAAAATTATTTTTTCAGCAAAATCAATTCATTTTATTGAAAATAGTCTCCTTCTGCTTCAACACAGCTTTTTTCACGGTCCAAAAGCATGTTGAACGAGGAAGGTCGCCAGTATGAAGGTGCAAGCCTTTTGAGTGGCCTCTACGTCTCATAGCGCTTTTCTTTTATGGGCAAATGCAGTTTTGCGAAAAGGAAGAAGTCGCACGGTGCCATATCAGTCGTCCTCCGAATGTTGGATTCTGAGCAATTTTTGGTCGTCAGTCAATTTGTGCGGAACAAACCGTGCACACACCTTTCGTAAGCCAAAATGTTCGGTCAAAATGCGATAAATCGCTGCTTTCACGATATCCAATTCCATTTCCATGAATTTCAATGATCATTTCGGCTGTGCTGTTTACTTTCGACCATTCATGTGATCTCAGTGATTTTAACCAAAAATTTTAGAAGTCTTCCAAGTTGGATGCTAATCTCCATGTTCTTAATTACTTTAACAATATTGAGGTCGTTTGTCTATTGCTCAAAGGTAGACCTCAGGAACCTTCAAGCTTACTGAATACTGTAGTATCCTCCAGACAGAAAGCTACAGAGATAGCTAACAACAATAGAAAATAAATTACGTCGCTGCCTGGCTACCGAAACAGAACAGAAAAACCGGACGTCAATAAAAATTATTTACAATGAAAATTCCGAAATGGCAGACTGACGGATCAGGGCAAGATGGAATGCTTTAAATACATGCAGGATCGTATGCTTTTTACTCACACGGCCTCGAAAGGACAGTTGCTTTTCTAATGATAAGTCACAACCTACTGGCCACATTTACGTGCCTGTTCGGCATAAGTAACGACGATACATGCAAAAGATCCAGGAAAGTAGGCATGAGAGAGTCATTGGAACACCTACTATGATTATATTCAGCACTATGCAAACTCGACTTAGTTATCTAGAGCTTTGCAGTTGAAAAGACCAGCTGAGGTAAAAAAATAAGGTTCGCAATAGCATTGACGTTCTGTATGATGAATACTTCAGTTCAAACTAAACAGTAGCTCCAACTGACATTATTAAGGATCAGTAGGTCTATGTATGGCGTAACAGCCGGCCAATACAATTTAAGGTATGCACAAATATATGTCAATGATTCGCAAGACATCTATTGTCAAAAATATTATTTTCATTCCCCACTCTTCTCCACCGTATGTTCAAGATCAAATTTGTCCCAGACTAGTATGTTTAAACTACGCGCGCAAACCGAATCGATAGATTTTTAAATATTCAAATATAATCTCAACATCTGTTTCATGACCCATTTATTTATTTTTTATTTTTTTTTTTTAATATAAGCGAGTAGAGGTTGAAATTATATTAGATAGATTCCTAAAGGGATTAGGTGGATAGATAAACTATTACTTTAACAACTGACGGTACCAGTAAAAGTGATCAAGTCATCCAACAAAAGTCTTGTTCCTAGCTTTTGGACCGAAAGACTACCAAATGGACAGAAATGCACCAATACTTCAGCACGAGAGCAAACAATTGAGAATATCATTCCTATTACATATATTTTAGGTTTAGGCTTTTAATTAGAAAGAAAAGAAATTACTACCTGTTGTCTAAATACTAATTTACCGCTTAATTTTCCGAGTCTGAAAGCTGAAGCTTTTGTATGGTAAAACTGAAGATTAACAAAACGTAAACATTTGCTCTGCAATAAATAGCTGAGCAGCGTGAGAGATTTCATAGAAATTAAAAAGCAAGTGAGTGAACCACTTCTAGTCATTCAGATTATGTTACTATATTTCTAGCTACAAATCATGCACAAAATGATGCCACACACGAACAGCGATTATATGAAAACTCAAATTGACGGCATGGCCGGTATGGCCGGCGGCTAGGTAACAGTATGGCCTTGCAGTTTCTTCAAGATAGGAAGCTGCGGCACACGCCCAAGCGTAGCTGTGATGAGCAGAGTCAACAGACATAAAATTGAAAATGTTTACGCTTACATACACATGTGTGAATATATATAGATATAGATATGTATGTGAGTGTGCATGCGGCATAGCTACTTGGCGGCAACTGCTTGCATATGAAAAGCAGCAAGTTGAAGGCAAGAAAATTTCCTATCTCCTAACAAAGCAAATATTTTTATGCCCTCGGCTGCACAAAACACACACATTTGCCAGCAAATTTTCACGCGCACACACACACACGCACATCTAGTGCACATGTTTGCGCAGAGGCATGCAGTTTGCGCATTAGCATACATAAGCACATTCCCAACGACACACACATGCACCAGCACATTATATTTGCCATTGAGAGAGGCGTAACTCACTGTGAAAATGTTAGTTTAGGCCATTGTTGCCACAAGTGCAGCATGCAACTTGCCATTACAAGCTCTTACACTGCTTAGTTGGCAACGACAGCATTTCCTTAGCGTTGCTTAAAGGCATAGTTAGGAGGCAAAAGAATACAATACACATACATGTATGTATATGTGCTAGAAAGGAAGCAATGTTTGAGAGTAAAATGCAGTGGAATATTTTGAAAGCACTTACTAAAGTAAGAATGCCATTTTTATGCATGGCTGCTGCAATCTTTGTTGTATTTAATAGGATTTTAATGATTTAGTACACATGAGTAAAACAGAATGTGCGGCAACTGATTTGATAGCTCTGCTGTTGTATATCACACAATAGCTTTCAAGGACACCAAAATTTTCAGATAAGTGATTACCTTAAATAAAATGGGTCGAAAGTGTACGAAATAAATTCACTTGACGTTAATTTTTAAATAAAGACGATCTATCCCGGAACAAGTTTGCAAAAAACTAGCTGGAAATAGTTAATTTTATTTTAAAAATGTCTACGAAAGCTCTAAAATTATCATAGTTCCGTCGACTGGGTTTCGATACTAAATCTTTACCATTCCCTAAAAGATTCTCTGGAATAACTTTCCTGCTTTGTAATAACTTATAAAGTACTTTGTTTTCCTTCCCGGATTTTTCGACAACTATCTCTAATCCATTTTATAATTCCCAAAGGGAACCCTATATTGGTTAGAAAGTGTATTTCTCTTGCTTTGGAAATAATTTGCACTTTGGAATTTTTAAAATCTAGTGACATTGCAACACACATAAAGCATGGGTCAAACTGAAACTTTATCCGCCACAAAAATAAAATCAAGAAAGCAACATCTCTTGTTTTACCAACTACATACATTCTTATGTATATGTATGCATGTAAATAACTCGATTACAGGTGTTCGTATATGTGTGTGTTTGAGTGCTCTAAGCTTTATATAAAAGCGTAATCGTAGAAATTGTTCGTAGTATGAAGAAGTAAAGAAAATTTGTTATGCAAGAGCTAACAGAGCAGTTCCATGCACTTTTTTCTTTAGCCAATCTTACCTGCAACCCAAAAAAAGACACGCACGTTGAAACGCAGCTTGTTACATGGAAACGTTGATTTACGCAGCTCACATATATGTTGGCGTAGTTTCAGACGCGGTTTTCTAAAACGCAATCAAGTTACTTTCTAAGTAACATTTAGTACTTTTAAATTTATAGAACTTTTTTTTATATTAACAAGAGTTTTTTGAACAAGTAAATCAGATTTATAGGACGAATTAGAGAAAAATTGATAATATCAAGTCCCTAAAATTTAGTAAAAAAAAATTAAATTTGTTACCTTATGACGTTAACAAAAATATCTTTACTTTGCTTTTTGCTAAAAAGAGAATACAGAATTTGATTGAGCAATAAGCAACGCCTGTAAAAGTGCAAGGCATCCGCCACTGTGGCAATGCGTATATTACATAAACGAACGATTTTCATATACAAGCATGTTTATGTTATTTACAAACAACCAACACACACTCAACCCAACCTCGACAATGTCATCTGCTTCTGGCCACCTTATTTTTCTATGCTTTTGCCCCTTCCGCTCAAGCATAGCAATCTCATATGCACTGTAGATAACCGACCAACAAGGTGTTAAAATTTACTTTTCAGCCACATGACACATATGATTTGTAGACACTTTCGCCTGTCGGCATAACTTCTCCCATGCTATGCTATGCTTTGCTATGAAAGCTTTGTGGCATAGTTGCGCATGTACATACCACTCTTGTATGTTATGGACTTGTGATTGTTGGTTTGTCATTTGTGCTTGAATTAAAAATGTAAATGCTCTGCAATATGAAAAATGTAGTGAGTGGCAACTTTTTTGTGTCCTTCATGGATTTTCGCACAAACTCGTTTATAACCGTCACGTATTTTATTTTCACTTGTGCATCATGTAGTTATTTTTGCGCATGAAGCATTTGGTATTTCTACATTGGAGTCTTTTCTTTGCGATATTAGTGTTTATATAGTTTGAAGGAAGCTTCTTATTTTCGCTGAGCTCTTCTTTGCGCAACAGAATTGGTTGGAAAGTAAAAATGTTGAAGAATTTCAGCTACTAAGGGTGAACATACTTAGCAAAGGCTCAGTGATGATAACCTATGTCTTATATATGAGTGTATATCTAAAAAAGTGTTTGCTTAAAATTTCATTAAAAACCTTCTTTGAGAAATTCTTCACTCTCGCAATGTTAGATAATCAAATGAATGCCAAAGGAGACCGTTATTCAGCTATCTTCTTTGGCTCGAGACATTTCAATTTTAGAAAATATTCACCAGCATGGTAATTATACTATATATAAAATCCAATGAACCTCCAAAGTGCTCACCCATCTCACGCAGGCGCTTTTCCTTGCGTCACCTTTTAAAACATTAATAAATATTCCTAATTCGGCACTATAAATTACGGTTCAGCACTAAGTGGTATATATTTATACTCCTATTTATAAAGGCACTTTCTGCTGTGAATTTGCCATTATTGCAGAAGCTTATAAATGTATAAGTGTGGCAGTACTGCTCGGCTTATGAGCTTAAGTGGCTGTTATGGCAAGTACTCGTTGGACATACACAGGTATTTCAAAGATAGTGTCAGTAGCCGCAATGTGTTTATTTAAATTTGTGTACCATATATGTATACATAAGTGAAGGTATATGTAAATAAGACCTTCACACACAACTTAAAAAAATATCGCGACAGCATCCCTCGACGCACTTGAGGCAAATACACTTCAAAGTGAATATGAAATATGATCGCAATAATGTGGGCACGCAAACATAATATATACAGATATATGGTATATAACTACAACGTAGTATATGATACATACTTCTCGGCTATGCTATTACCTACCCTTGCTCCAAAGAATGTTTCGGTGTATGTGTTGTACATATACATATATGTATTCATAACTATATCTATACTAGCCTAATATTTTGTAGAAAAGAGAATTGCTTAGGCATAGTGTAGTAGAACTTCTGAGTAACGTGTGTCTATACTGAAGAAAAGGGCAATATTACACCTCGTACAACTACTTCTGTCGAATTATTCGCCATTAAAAAGCCTACTTAAGTAATTCAAGAATTAAATGGCCTAAAAGTAAATTTTTAAACTTATAGCTGGAAGAAGTTAATATCGTCGAATATCAAGTATTATATTTCAATATTAATATTATATTAATATAACATACTTTTATTTGCATTATTTAAAAATTGCGTTCAATATTTTCTAGCATCGCATGGAACGAAGTCTTATGCACTATATCAAACGAAAAGCGGTTGGTCTTCAAAATAAAGCATTTTAGCCCGGCTTTGCCTCGATTAAGTTAAGATAATTTGCTAGTTGACAGAGTTGAATCATTGTATTGGAGAATGTAAATTTATTTTTCAGTAAAGATATTATATAAGAAAATCATAATATTGCGCTATGTAAATACCTAAACCAACACATTGTGATCATCCGATAATTTACACCTCCAATATAAACCGCATTGAATATCATCCAATTTCGGCACCCAAGTAAAATCTGTCATTATATTTATTTTTTTCTTTCAATCAGTTCTAAGTAGAGTTGTAGAAAACTAGAAATATTTGATTCTGAAAGACACCTGACTCATTAAGAAACGTAAACTAAATTAACCCTGAAAATTTTTTATACTTTCTTATACCTTTTGACCCTTTAAAAACTGCTAGCTCCAAGGCTTATTCAGAAATATCTAATCTAACTTTATATTTCTACTGTCTGCCAACTTTTGTCATTGAGATCTTAAGTTGAACTGCATTCTTTGTGCTATTTTAATTCAATGTTTTGAAAAGCTTAAAAAATCGTTTTCCGATGTCGATGTGGGAATGCTTCAAATGGTTTAGTGAAATATTTTTTTATTTACAATTCTGAAAATTCTTTGTACGAGGTGTGTTCAAACAATAGCGGGAATTTAAAAATTACGACGTCCTGGTTATGGAAAGTCCAACGGTCAAAGCAGCCGCTACGGTTGGACAAGTTTCTATGAGTTTTGCGATTTTCCTTTGTTGAAAGAATTGAAACAAAGAATTTGTTCTTCTTGGAAAAAAATAATGCCGTAACAATTTCCCTCAGGCATGCATTTTTTTAAATATTTTTACTGAATTCTAATTAAATGAACATTAACCAGCCGTGCATCTGCGTATGTATGCTTCGCTATCGATAAGTGTTTATGAATAATTTTTAAAGACAATGTAACACACCCTAGTAAGGCTTTCAATTTTTATATATTTTGAGTGTGCTATGGAAGTTCAGAACTTCCGCATTGACTTCCGATTACTGGTAGTAAAAAGCAAGCCACTTTTTCTTTTATCAAATGACTCCCGAGGAGTAGAGAATTGCCCACAATAAAAAAATACCTTCGAAATCGGGAAAACATAATTTATGTAGTTATATTCAATATTGAAAGTAATTTACATAACTATAAATATAATAGTCAAGGCCACATTTTCAAATATCTGTATATACCAACTTAGGAATCACTAGTATTAGTTTGCATAGAAAAATAATTAATTAAAAACACCGTACATATACTTTTTAATTTTGGTATATTCATTGAATCAAACTAACATTTCTACCGTCAGATTATGTTTGAACCAAAGAAATTAGAATAGTAAAATATTCATTTACTCCCAAGAATAAACACTCGCAAATCACTTAAAAAGGCGTCAGAACTCGTTAATCCATACATTTTTTTTATCACAAATTTTGGCTAGTAAGACTTCTAGGCAATAAATGTCAAACAAATTCCACAAAACAAACCATTTTTATTTGAAGCACTTAACAAGGAGTGAAACTACACAAAAAAGGCGTAGCTTAAAGTGAAACAAAAAGAAATTTGCAAGTCTGTCCGTCGAAATAAAAAATCACTTTACACAATGGAACAAGCAGAACAACACCGATTTGTTTATGCGCTGAGGGTATGCCTTATTTATAACTGTTTCTATTTCACGCGCACATCCAACACGCTTCTTATTTTCGTAAGCAATTTTTTCGTTTTTTCGCAATTCTACTTAATTGTTATTTCGCATATCGTTGGGGCGATAAAATATGGCCAAATACCGGAAATTCCGGTCCCGACTTGTCGCAGCCAGCCCATACGCCATTGCTAGTTGTCAGGCTAATCCCTTTACTTAGGCCAATTAATTAAATCCGACAAAGCGAACAACACACAACAACAACACAAGAACAATAATAACAACAATTGCAATAAAAATAACAACAAAAGCGCGCAATTGTAAAGAAAAAACGCCGGCAATGGTAAAACATGCACAGCATTAAGAACGACACGACGAACATTAAGAAACACGCAAAGCAAAGCAAAAAGTGTAGAAGCAAGTCTAAAGCAACAACAAGCAGTTTGTCGAAAGTGGCAATAGATAAGGTCAAATTCTTCAAAAGTCGTCGCTGAAACACGACTGTACGTAAGTAAGAATGACGAAGATGCATATATTATAGACGAAATTGGCGAAAAGGGTTGAGAAAAGTGCTAAAATAAAAAAAGAAAAGCTCTAGCAGCTGAGGGGCAAAATTTACATAGCGTGCGCGCCTTTAAAGCAAGCAATAAAGGAGTGTCAAATGACTGGACATTTATTTACATTTTTAATGTTACATTCCAGGTATTTCTTCAATACATAGTGGGTATATAAATTTTTGCTGTCGAGTATATCATTACACTTTTTCATATTTAGTAGAATAGCCTTTTGAAGAACTTGAGTTGCGCTAAGAGCATTCGATGAATTTGCAATCGGTTTCAATATTTACACATTGCTGCAGTTAAGACAGTCTTAGCCATAAGTAACTGCAGAAAAGAATTGCTCGTTACGTAATATGGCTAGCTCATATCGCCAGACACGTGTATTTACCTTTTACATACAACCATTTTGCTACATTTCCCAAGCTTTACTTAATACACGCACTGTAATATTGTAGTAATATTATTTCTTCTTTCTTTCTGTGTCGCAGGGTGCTACAGGGAAACCAGGTGAACGCGGTGCCCCCGGTCCGAAAGGTGACCGCGGCGATAGGGGCGATCCTGGCTCCCGTGGACCCGAGGGTCTGCAAGGCCATAAAGGCGAGCCTGGCGTCGACGGCATGCCCGGCATGCAAGGGCCACCCGGCCCGCCAGGACCGCCTGGCTTGCCCGAAAACTACGATGTAAGTATACCCTTACGTTTATATAATTACATACCTTTTCTTTTGTATATATAACGCTCAGTTTTTGGTAGGTTTCATATTATATACCATATTTACTAATAATCTATTTATATTTTTTTTAAGTAGTACTATAAGATCCAGATTTTTTTATCTAGGAATTTTTTACTTTTAACAAGATTGCTATAAAAATTACGCTCTCTTTTAAGTTGGGTTAAACTGATTAGAGTATATTAAGTTTTATTTAAATCGGTTCAGTTGTTTAGTAATTTACCTCAGACAAAATTGTTATTCTCATGTATTTACTCGTAGGTATAGATAGCGTGGTATATTTAGGCTTCATTTATATCTTCTTCATTGTTCCCAACTGCTTATTAAGTGCACCTTGAAATTAAAAACTTAATTTAAGCCCTAATTATAGCAGTATCACCTGTTCCCATAATATCGCGTTTACAAGTGTCCAAGTTCATACGTAACGGTTATTAGAGGCGTCTATTAAAGTTTGTAATTACAGTGCTTAGTGTTTATGGTGCCCCTAATTGGTCTCGTAAATACATGCTTTCATTTTCTCTTTTGCGTTGTTGGAAAGTTTTGTCTCATTTGCTATACATTATGTAATATTTTGGTTAATTATTTAAGCCTTTTAAGGTACAGAAACTTTTCTTAAATATTTTGGATGCCAATAACATTTGTGGTTCAAGGCTAACTGCATTAATGTGACCATTTGAGCGCTAGGTATTGTTTACGAAAACCATTCATTAAAGCAAAAGAAAGAGTTGGCATCAAAAATATCTAAATATCTTATATTCTAATTGCCCACTGTTTCGTATTTTTATTGGGGTATATGGGAGGTTTGAAGAGAGCGGACTCCTCGGTAAAGTTCTACGTCATATATAAGTAGTTTACCAGACAAATATACTTACCTAGTCCATTATATAATGTTTCCATTGTACTTAGCCGCCTACGCGTGGCTTATTGTCATTGCTGTCAGCTTTAATGCAACAACAAATTTATAGTGATTAAGATAGCGAAAGGCATACGCGAGTAAATACTACTAGCTAAAGGCAAGTTAAGGTGATTTATGAAGACTAATTCATCATAAATGTGTTCGAGGCGACTGTAAAGCCTATGCTTCTATTAAATAAGCAAAGTAATAATTTCTACTTTATATCTTACACAAAATAGAGAGAAATCCCTCAAAGATAATACTTTTATTTTTTGTGTCGTTTTCCAAACAAACTTATGATATTAGATGCTTTTGAAAAAATTATTATTTGTAAAGTTCAATGTACTATGTGTTTAAGGCTGCAGGAAGCATACACTGATAAATGAGTTGAGTGCGAGGCCACAGAGCAATCACAGCTGACTACAAAGCTGATGAACTGGCAAGAAAAGAAATGTGTACGTGTTGGTACTTCGGCCTCTTCGTGCTTTCTAATTAGTTCCTTCGCTGCCACAAGTTCCTTTTGGTTTGGTCCAAGGTCGATACAGTGAGCTCTTTGCCACATCCACACTTCTTTCTTGAATGTGCCGCTCTTGTGAAACTTAATTAAGTGATTGGGAGCGCACCCTTTCATCTAAAAGCTCGAGGGTGTAGATATCAAACCGATTTGCTGGCGTGTTTTCCCCTCGTTACGTCGGATACAAGAGTTCTGTGTCTGCATATCCTTTGCGAAGCTATGACATTAGTCCAAGTGTTATCCAATCTTGAGGATCAGCCAAGGAACCTAATCCGGCTAAATTAGTATTCGAAAATATATGCAATGTATAATGAGTAAATATTTTTATACCATCCAACAAATTATACACTAATATTTTATACCATTTTTTGTCCCTATATAATAAAAATCGAGTTTACCTTAGCTTTTACTAATTTCCCTTTGTGAAATCGGCAAAAAACGACAGCATGTGCAAAGTAAAAGCACTCAGCTTCTGCTTTGCCAACTTGAATCCAATGCAGATTAAAGCTTGCTCAAACATTTGCATTTAACTGCTTAGAAGTGTTCTAAACACCTTGTGTGACACCGCGTATACGTAACCACAAAGAATTTTGCACTTAACTCGTGTAATTTGCCAAGCAGCTGCTTGTAGCTTACAAACAATCATGTAGTCATGTAAACAGACCACAAAGCGTGACTATGCGAAAGCATGTAGAGTTTACTAAAATCGTATAACGGCACGTATTACTGGGGATGCACGCAGATGTACATTTTACAATTAATATTACACTGTTAACACTGCTCACAACCACTTGAGCCTGTAGTTCATGCAAGCGGGCATTTATTCAGTTGTTACTAGTTCTGGAGTTCTAGATTAATAAAATTATTCAAAACTGTTTAGGCCAATTTAGATTTCACATAAGAATAGGAAAGAGTCATCTGGGCAATCCATATACAAGAGTGACACATTTCTATTTTTAAAAAACAACTGGCTCAGAACTAGTCCCTTTTGGTAGCACACAATTTTTCTACTGTATCAGCGTGCGCTTTATGCCAGTTCAACTGCGAAGCCTCACAGCAACCTTGCACTTGCGTGGTGTACGGGAGGAGTGTTTTTCAGTGGCTTTCACGTTTAAATTGGTGGTTTTAGGCTATTATTGTTATCAACATGATTGCATGTTGCCAGCGCGGCTACCGCTAAGCAAACGACAAAACAACAGTGTAACTAACTGCGCAACTGGGAGCAGCTACCGCAGAATAAAAAAAAAGAAATACAACAACAACCACGACACAAGCTTAAAGTGACCGCGACCAAGCAACAAAAGCGTAATTTCCTTTGCGTTGGCTGCCTTAAAGCAGACATGCACAGTATAATTTGAGGCGTTGCCGTTGTTTTACCAGCGAACGCATTTAACTAACTTTGCATAAGCAAACAGTGCGCCAAACATTTACTTTCAATTTAAATTTGTCAGTTGCCAATGGCATTAAGCAAAGGGCTACAGCGACTGCAAGCGACTTCACGCGGTGTAAAGTAATGTAGTACCGTTTATTTTTATTTTTATTTTTTTAATTTTATTTATTTGTTTATTCACTTCTTTGCTTTGTTATGGCCCAACAAGCTTATCGCTTGGGATGTTGTTTACAAAATTGCTGTTGTTACCTTTCCGCTGTGCTTACTTTGCCGCACTGCTGCAGGCGACCTAGCGACCTAGCGACTCTCGCGCTAAACAGAACTGGCACAAGATTTCGTGCCGCGCAAAGATTGCCGTAAATAATAAAAAATATACTCAGCTATTTGCTTTTCTACCCATTAAATGAGGTTTTTAGCGCTTTCGCCTATACTTTTTCTTTAAAATACTTCCATTTCCAAATAAGCAGCGAAAAGTTTGCAACTTGAGTTCTATTTAATTTTCGTTCAAACCTTTCCTGTCCATTTTAATAACTTTTGTCCCTTGTCAAAGCGGCCACAATGAGGTCAGCACACCGCTGTCAGTTCATTGCAAAGCAGCACCAACAAAAAAATCGCTGTGTCACGCCTTTATTCTTCCACCGGCGGTTGAGTTCAGCGCCTTCGTCTTTTTATTTCTTGTTGCAAGCGAAAATAAAAATCTCTCAGACTTTTTACTTGGCTTATGGCAAGTTAATTGTGTGGCAGCGCAAAATTTGTTCAGTTTTTTCTTGCTTTTTTTGTACGCTCTTAATTCGCTCTTAAAGAAAAATTGCCTATTGTGCTAATTTCATTATATCGCTGTTACTGTCACATCCCATTTCACCTGCTGAATTCATTAACTCCGCAGGGCATGCACATGCGTGTGTGTGTGGGTATGTAGAAGTGCTCGGCTGGCTATCTCCGGCCGCCATCAGCAGTTAAGCGGCCGAACAAACTGCGTCAGGCGGTCGGTAAACGAAATGAGGCGACATGCGAACTGCCGTCCGCAGAGTTGATTTTGTGTGAGTGAGGCCACCGCTGATAAGGAAAATAATAAAATAGAGAGTAACGAGCATAGTTTTTTATAAAAGGTGCCACTATAAATTAATAGAATCTTAATTATAATTAAAGGTTTCGTGAAAATAAACATTCTTTGAGAAGATAGTGACAGTTTTCGAGTCAAATTCTTTAAGATTAATTAATAAATAACTAGAAATTAATTAACACGACCCTAAGAATCAGATTGTTATTATGAAAAATTTATATATTTTTTTTTTTGCAAATTTGAAAGACGGATTATCTAATAAGGTTTTACTGAACGCTTTTAAAAATTATTTGTTCAATTTTTTTTTTCGACTTATTCCGCTAGAGAGTTGCCCTCTAGGCAAAAGTAACACTAAGAAAACTAACCAGAGCTACCACCCGTCGAAAAAAGCCTATATAAAATGTCGAGCGCTTCTGAAAAGTATTCAACCTTTTGTGACTGTAGTCTTATTTCGGAACGAAGTTGCCATCTAGGCAAAACGAACACTAAAATACCGGAGGAGTGAAAAGTAAGGCGAATAAGCACGATTTCTGTAAGACATAATTTTGACCAGAGTTGCCACATAGGGAAAAACTGCAACCGATAATATTAAAGCTGACTAGCTACAATAAGGATTTTGGGAAGATTACCATAAAGCATTCACATTTTTTTTCAATTCAAGTAAATTTTTTACATAGTTGCCACAAATTGGAAAGCAAAACTGATTTAACAGGGAATTTAATTATTTTCCAAAATAAAATTTATTTTTAATATTTTGAAGTGTGCTTTTGGTGGCTCCTAGCAGATCGGGAGTTATGTATATCCAGTAAAAAGTCGTCTACTCACAGCAACTCAACTCATGAAGGTTTTCTTAGGCTATAGTAACAACAAAGATTTTGGCTACTATAAGGTTCGGTTGATTAACTTTTGGGATATGATAAACTATTTGTTAAAATGAAATCGCTCATGGCAGCGCCTTGGCTATACTTACTTAATGTAAACAATAAATTAGTCAACTGGTGACTATTGATGAGCTTCACAATCAATAATTGAGATCATTAAGTACGATAAATTACTAATAAAACCACTACAATCTCACGACACAATTTTG